TTCTTTTTTTTTTTTTTTAACCAGTTCTCACACTTCTTATTATGTCTTGATTCTGTACTGTATTTAAACTAGTGGTGATGGTGATTGTCCCTCAAAATTTGACTGAAAATCCCCTTTAAAAAAACAAAAACCAGAGATTAAAAATAAAATACAGGTTTATATTCTATAAATGGCAAGAAGGATATGCCATTAGGCTAATAATAATAACAATTAAAGATAATTAGATAAACAAATAATTTTTCTAAATTCTCAGATAAAAAATCCTGAAAGAATTTACCAACACCAGACCAGCTCTTCCAGAAGTGCTGGGACCAGTAGTTAGTGTAATGGCTATGTCACGGAACTCCCATGTAGTCGACTGGTGGTTCGAGTCCCAGACTCAGTGGCTTAAACTCACTCTGGGCACATGTGTATGTGTGCCCAGGATCCTGAGAGGAGAATGGAGGAGAAGGGATTGCAGTGTGGCCATCCCCCCTGGGGTGTGATTTCTTGCTTTCTGTCTCTGTCTTTCTAGGGAGCGCACGCTCCCTATAGCAAAAACCCCTGGGGTGGGGAGAAGTGCTGAAGGGAGTGCTATACCAGGAAAACTAAAGAGAGATTGACAGACATAAGACAAACAAACAAACCAACAAAAAAACAAAAAAAAGAGAATCCAACATAAATGAATGAAAACTCCACATTAGATAGACACTTTTTTTTCAGTGTTTTTGGCGCAAATGACTAGACATGTATTCATCTTCCTTGGAGAGTCTAATTTGATTTCTCAATGTTTAAGATTCTATCTCCAATTGTGCTGTTTTTATACATTACAAAAGTTATTGTTACCCAAATGACAAAAATGTATTTGTGTCAATGTTAAATTCTTTGCATGCTGCAGAAAAGAAATACTTTGGAATCACTTTAAGAAAAATCGAGTTTCAGGTTAAATATGTTGGTTTTCTTTTAAAACTATATTTACTTCTCATGTACTTCTGCTAAAAAGAAAAATAGTACTGAGTATTGCCACAATTTAAACAAAAGGAAAGACAGATTTGACTTTCTTTTTTTAATTTATTTTTATTTTTATTTTATTTTTATTTATTTATTTTTTTTCAGATTTGACTTTCTGACGTGTTGAAATTATATAGGAAACATTATCAAATATGAAATGATGTTTCACTCTTTGTGTATAGAAATTTGTGTCAATGGGTGTTTCAAAATATCTGTTATGTATTAGTACTTGTAATACTAAATAGTTCTAATGTAGTTTGTCACAGACATGATCAAATTTGTCTATTTTGGACTTTGGTAAAATCAGATCTCAAATCATGGTCATTTTTAAGTTTCATTGTTCTTAGTTAATTGCTTTATTCTGATGCTCTTTCTAAAACATTTTGTAACAGGCTACAATCCAAAAGTTGCTTCCTTTAAGGAAATTAATGAAAAAGGCTCTGATAAGTACTCTTTCTTAAACTTTCATTTATTTTATATACTTTCACTGAACATCACTACAACATACAAAATGTGATTTTCCAGCCCCTGTAAAGTGGTTTAATCATAAATACTATCATCAATAAATATTTTTCCATTTCTTATTTCATATATATATATATATGTATATATATATATATTCCCCCCTATTTCTCACCCTCTGCCATTTCTTTTTCTTTTTTATTTTTGGAGAGGTTTTTGCTATAGGGTGTGTGCGCTTGCCAGACAGAGAGAGAGAGACAGAGAGACAGAAAACGAGACATCACCCCCTAGGGGGGATGGCCACGCCACAATCCCTTCTCCTCCATTCTCCTCTCAGGATCTTGGGCACGCATGCACACGTGCCCGGCATGAGTTTAAGCCACTAGGTCTGGGACTTGAACTGCAGTCGCCTACATGGGAGTCCAGCGAAATAGCCATTATGCTAACTTCTGGTCCCACCCTCTGTCATTTCTCATCCTCCTCCTACCCTGTCTCTGGTAGTTACAGTTGCTTTCCATTCTTTTATTCTTTCCCACATTGCATTGATTCACAAAATATTTAGTTTTCATGGAATAGCACTCCATTCAGAACTTCTTGGAAAGCTGATCTGGTGTTGGTAAATTCTTTCAGGTTTTATTTATCTGAGAATGTTCTTGTCTTTTCTTCCCATATGAAGGATAATCTTGCCGGATATAGTATTCTTGGTTGAAATTGTTTTTCTCTTAACTCTATGAATATAGTTCCCCATTCTTTCTTTGATCGCGTTGTTTCTGATGAGAGGTCCACTGTTACCCTGATGGGATATCCTTTGTAGGTAACTCTTGCCTGTCTGAGTTTCTTGTCTTTGTGATTTTGGTCATTCTGGCTGTAATGTGTCTTGAAGATCTTGGGTTGATCCTATTTCAGGTTCTTTTTATTTCTTGGTACTGCCTCTCTAGGTTTGGGAAATTTTCTTCCAGGATTTCACAGACTAGATTGTCAATGCTCTTATTAATCTCTTTACCTTCTGGGATACGATTATCCAGATTTTTGGATGTTTAATGGTTTCTAGTATTTTTTGTATATTACTCATTTTGGGGGGCTGTTTTCTCAGTCTTCGTGGTGGATTTTACTAGTCCAGTGATTCTGCCTTCTACATCTGAGATTCAATTTTCTGTAAGATCTAGTCTGCTTTTAATACTTTCGAAGGAGGTTTTGACTTCCTGTATTATAGCCTTCATCTCCAACAGTTCCATTTGATTCTTTCTTTATGGTGTGTATTTCCTCTTTCAGCTCTCACGAGAATTTCCTCACTTTCTGGAATTCATTGGCTTTTTTCTGCTGGTGTTCATTGTCTCTCTCCTCTTCCGTCTGTTAGCTTTGTCACTAAGAATACTCTAAATTCTTTATCAGACATCTCCATGTGTTCCATTGTACTGTCTATGGATGAAGAAGAGTTATTCTTTTCCTTTGGGGTTGAGGCATTTTCTTAGTTTCACATATTTCTGCAGTGATTTCTAGTCATCTGATGGGTTATTCGCTTCTTCCTAATTTCTAGAAGATCAACCTGAGCAATCAGAGGCACACAGGAGGATGTGGTCTGCAAACTCTTTGGCGTTGTGTTTTTCTCCAGGCGCTCTGTCTGCCAGGGTAAATTCTCAGCAGAACATCTTCATTGCCCTTACCCTTGAAATCACTAAATCTCAGCTCTCATGGTGGACTCAGTCTTCTTCTGGCCTCCCTTTCTGTTTGCCAGGGGAAAATCTCAGCAGAACATTTTCATTGCTCTTATCCCAGAAATCACTAGATCTCAGCTCTCATGGTGGTTTGATAAGTATTCTTGAATGTAGGTTTTTGATAACTTTGAGATCATATTTCTGAACTTCTAGGATTTAAGCAAAATGATTGGACCACAGTAACACTGCAAACTCAACAGAAGAGAGATTAATTACATGAGACTGAACTGGTGAGAGATAATCTTATGATCTTTAACTAAAACATTACTGATTTTTTTCTACACTTTGTTTTCCAGATTTAAGGATTATTTTAAGCTGTTGATAACTTCAGCAATTTGTTAAAAAATGTTTTTTTGAAAACGGAATTGAAACATAAACTTTTCTCCCTTCCTTATCCCCTCTGGATTGGAAAACATTTAAAAGTAATTCTTATTTTGTGGCGGTATGGTTATTTGCATAAGTTCAACAATACCTATTGCTTTGCATCAGAAATTGGAAACACTGGTTATTGGCAGGGTTTTGACTGAAATACCTCATCTGATAAGAACAGAAAGCTTAGGAACTAAGGCTGATCTCGATAAAGTCCACAGAAGCTTTTGGAAAGATTGCCTGGTACCATAAGTAGTTCTGCCTGGCAGGTAAGTAAAGAATGTTACTTCCTGATAGGCCCAAAACTTCCAAGTACAGGTAATTAAAAGCACAGTAAGATGGTTAGTTCCTGACTTGACTCCATAGCCTTGGGAAGCTTCTTAAAGAGTCTAATCTGAAGTTCTTTATAAAAGGTTCCAGCAAAGCCAACTAAATTAATTAGTATTTTTACCGGTATTTATGCAAATAACAAACCAAATTGAGACAACTTATTTTTTTGCAAATAAGTTAGTTTATGCTTTTCTTTGGGAGAAACTGAAAGAGAAAAAAATGGAAAGAAAAAACTATAATGCAGTTGTTACTAGGTTTTAGCTCTGTCCATATTTGTTTTTTGAGTTTTTAGTATCTACTGTTTAACAGAATCCTAATCCTTTTTCCAACTTTAAGACTTAAGCAGTACTCTGATTCCCCACCCCTCCATGTTTAGGAGAAGATCCCTGACAGTTTATTGACACCGTACAAAGCACAGTGAAGAATGTGAAGGACAGGGACAAGTGTTGGTGCCACATACAGGATGGTATGGAAAGGGGACACAGAGAGATCGATATGGACCTACTGAAGTAATTCGGCATGAGGTAGTGACGATCTACCTATGAGTGCCCTGAGAGTAATAGAGGGCTGGCTTGGTGATACAGTGGTCATGTGCTGCTAAAACCATACTGGAATCATATAGAAGATTGTGGGTTTGATTCCCTGCTTCACTAACCATGCTGGGTGTGCTTACACATGATCCTGGCAGTCTTTGAAAGCATGAGACCTTGTTGAGGGTGTTTGCTATTCTTTTTCTCTATCTCCCACTCATGAAATAAATGAGTAAACTCTTAAAAAGTTACAAATTCATTTACAAAACAAAGAGTATCAGAAATGGACACATTTTGAGATCAGCAGTTAGTGTAATGGCTATGTTGACTGTGGTTCAAGTTCTGGACCCGGTGGCTTAAACTCATACCGGGCGTGTGTGCGTGTGCCCAAGATCCCGAGAGGAGAATGGAGGAGAAAGGATTGCGGTGTGGCCATCCCCTCTGAGGTGGGGGGTGATTTCTCGCTTTCTCTCTCTCTGTCTCTCTCTCTTTCTGGTGAGCGCACACGCCCTATAGCAAAATCTTCTCAAAAAAAAAAAAAAAGAGAGAAAGAAAAATTGTCTGTTGATAATGTATATGATAATATCTTTGACTGGATCAATATTCAGTGTATTCAAGGTGGCAAAATTCATTCTGTATGCTGTGAAGATATACAGTGATTAAACGTAAAACATAAAATGAAATAAAAGTAATAAAAATAAAATAATTTTTAAAATGAAGGTTTATAATTTTCTCTTGTTAAAAGTGAATAAGCCCCTGGGACCAGCAGTTAGCATAATGGCTATGTCACTGGACTCCCATGTAGTCGACCACAATTGAAGTCCCGTACCTGGTGGCTTAAACTGACACCAGGTGTGTGTGCGTGCGTGCGTGTGTGCGTGCCCAAGATCCTGAGAGGAGAATGGAGGAGAAGGGATTGTGGTGTGGTCATCCCCCCTGGGGGGTGATTTCTTACTTTCGGTCTCTCTGTCTTTCTGGCAAGTGCAAAAACCTTTAAAAAAAAAAAAAAATAAAAAAAAAAAAAAAGAATAAGCCCCTATAGTCACCATCCCTTTTAAAAAGGTCCAATATAGTTTTTGGAAAAGGGAATTTTGGAGTCTCACTACCCACCTAAGGAACGAGGACGAGCTTTCACTGGGGAGAGTAGTGGGGCTGATTGTACAGTCCTGAGCTACCCTTGGAAACTACTCTGGTTTTTACCAACTAGTTTTAGATCTCCATGGCAATCAAAGTGACATCGACCCAGATGTCGAGTTAAAAATCAAACAAAGGAAAGAAGAAAGTCATATACAAGAGGCAAGAAGACCTCTTTTCTAAATGTTCTATTTATTAGCATTTTGATCAGAGAAATCCAAGTCTACCATACTGGAGGTGCTCTGGAATTCTAGACTGTCTCTTGGTTGCAAGATGCAAAATTTTGGCCCATCACACTGGATCAGGTTGGCCCTGGAGGTAGCTTTATAGCTGGATGGGCAAAGGGGCTGAAGAGAGGAACCCTGTTCTCCTTGTTGGGACCCTGTGGGTGAGAGATACTGATACAGACAGTGGAAGGAAGAGCTGGATGTCTCATCCTCACCAGGAAAACTGTACAGGTCTATGATTTGGGCAATGTCATAGACATCAGAGTACAAAGCAGGAACTGAGGCCACCAAAGGATCTTCCATTGGGAAACCACTTGTGGGACTCTCAGTGAAGACAGAGCCCCATGCCCCATTTGAAGGGTCTAAGGGCTGAGATGGAGGGGAACTATAGAAATCTGAAACCACAGGGGGAAAAATATGAGGGTTTGTGCATGTTCTGGGTGAGGTGGGCATAATCCTCATGGCTGGAAGGATGTGGTTTGGTTGCTTTTGTGACTGCTGTTGTTGCTGCTGCTTCTTCAGTTTGAACCTCCTGTTTCTGAACCAAACCTGGAAGTGGAAGAAAAGGGGAGGTTGTCTGTTAATGGAGGAGGTGTTGGAGGCTTCTCCTAATTGAAAACAGCATATTAAAAACCTTATGTCTTCTTTAAATCATCATGAGACTGGGGTTCTGAGAGAGCAGAGGTGGGAGTGAGAGAAGTCAGTAGGAGGGACATGACAATCAGGACTGGAACTTCAGAGGAGAAATAAGGAAAGGAAGAGATGTGGTTTTTGTTGTCGTTGTTTTTGTTTTTAGAGGTTTTTGCCTTATTGCATGTGTGCTTGCTGGAGAAAGACAGAGACAGTGAGAGGGAAAGTGAGAAATCACCCTCCATGAGGGGACGGCCACACCACAATCCCTTCTCTCCTCCATTCTCCACCTGAGATTTTGGGCATGCATGTACATGTGCCTGGTGTGAGTTTCAAGCCACTGGGTCTGGGACTTGAATCATAGTCAGCCATGTGAAAGTCCAGTGACAAAACCGCTATTCCATCTGCTGGCCCCAAGATGTGTTTTGTGGTTGTATTGGGAGTTCAGGAAAAGGGTCTAGTCCAGGGATATAGAAAGAGGTGGCAAATTTGAACTAAGTATTTTTTCAAGGATTACTTTAGGAGCTCTCAACTATGAGGACTATTCCAACAAAATGTTATGAGCCTTAGCAGAGTCAGCGGTTGAGGGGAGTTTGGTAGTATCTGCATAAATAGGTTATAGGGATTTTCTTGTGGGAACTCTGAGCAAGGAGTCTGCCTGAATAAAAGCCATTTCTCTATTTGAATTCTCTAGTACGAATGTTAAAAACGAGACTTACAGAGTTTTCATTCTAGGTATACTACCGATTTTCTCTGTGGTCCAGTCACTTTACCTTTGGACCACAATATTCCTCATCTGTTGAACTGTATGACAGTGGTCACGGTAGAGGTCAGCATACACAAGGTGCCCAGTTCCATGCCGGGTCAGTAGCTACACAATCAGTGAAATGTAATGACTGTGTCAGGGAATTCCCAGGCCGCATAACAGAATGTATCTTGGGTAGGGTACTAAGTATCACCCAAGGGATCGGACCTTTACTGTTGACTCATGCAGGTTGAGTTTCAAAGCTAGTTCTTTTTGGAGAATTTTATCTGGAAACATATTCTGGCTAAACAGTGCCTCCAACTCTTCATGCTGCTTTTGGGTGAATATGGTACGTTCTTGATGTTTCTTCCACGTACCTGTAAGCAGACAGAGAGAGGGAGCTGTTACACTTACACTACCCCCCTCCACAGGCAAACAGGCCCCTCCGCTACGGATCTTCCATGCCTTCCCTGCAACCAGGCTTGGAAGCCAGAAGTGATAGATTCTATGTATCAACTGATTAACTGAGTCCTATGTAACAATGTTCTGTCTTCTGTTTTCTGAGATTTAGTCTATCCCAAATAGAAAATATTTACCTCTTCAGTTTTCTCTGTATTCAGCTTGTACACTCTGGAAACTGGCTTCCTCTAGTTTCAATTTGCCCTGCACTGAAAAGTTTTCTGTATAACTTTTTTCTTCTATATCCAACCTTTCTACCATGCCTAACTTCAGGAGTGTGGAAAGCGCCTTACCTCTTACATGTTTCACACCGTTTCTTCTATAAACCAGGAGAAAACTCCAATCTCTGCATATAACACACTTCTCTTTTCTTCTTAGAGAGAGATTTTTGCTATAGGGCATGTACCGTTGACAGAGAGACAGAGAGAGAAAGACAGGGAGACAGAAAGGGAGAAATCACCCCCTGGGGTGGGAGGTGGGGTCACACCATAATCCCTTCCCCTTCATTCTCCTCTCAGGATCTTGGGCACACATGCACATGAGCCCAGTGTGAGTTTCAAGCCACTGGGTCTGGGACTTGAACCAGATCGACTATGTGAGAATCCAGCAATGTAATTAATATGTTATCTACTTACTGGTCTCTATAATGCACTTTTCAAAATGAGAGTTTCCTCTCTTCACTTCTTTAATCAAGACTCAAGTATCTGGCAAATGGGCTTTTCTTTTCAAGGGTTTCTGAGATTTTATTCACACTTTTGGGAAAAAGGATCAGTCAGTAGTGTTGTGGATCCCACATGGCTAACTGTATGGTTTGAGTCCCATTCTGTAGCTTGAAAAATCACACCAGGCACCTGTGCATATGTATCCAAAACTCTGAAAGAAGAATGGAGGAGAAGAGATTGTGGCGTGGCCATCCCCATGGGGGGTGCTTTCTCAATTTCCCTCTCTGTCTCTCAATGACAAGTACATACACCCTATGGTAAAAACCTTAAAAAAATATTGATTTTGCTCATGTTTAATGTAATTCTATCTAAACTCTCTGCATTTACCATAAATAGTCCTATCTTTATCAATACTCTGAACCTATTCTTTTAATTAAATAACAGATTTACTAGGCACATAATCTTTACCTTCAAATAAGTTGTCTGTGAAACAGTATTTTTGCAAGGTGTTTATGGTATGCTATTGGTGGGAATTTTGCTGTAAGCCACAAAAAACCTATTTATACAATATTCAAGTAACTATTACCTCCTTCTGTAGGGGTGTATTTGTGTTTCTACAACCTAACTACTCACTGTATATTACTTTAAAATAAGAAATAGATTTATTCATTTATTTGTACAAACAATATATGCAAATAGTACAAAATTGAAATCATTTCTGTTCTCTGCCACCCAGTTACTCTCTAAAGCTGTTCTGTTCAATATAGTAACCACCACTCCAAATAACCATAAGCACATAAAATGTAGCAAGTTCTGTTGAAGTGCTAAACTTATAATTTTATTAGATTTTAGTTCACGTAAATTTAAAACTCTTAATCCAGTTTTTGGGAAACTTTCTTAGTTTGCTTTGGACAACTTGGGTATGCAAATCTATTTTCAACTGCAAATTTTATAAAATCTGAATGCAAATCTAGTATTTTGTTTTCTTTTTTATTTCATTTTCTTTTATACATTCAATTACATTATTTGACTTACAAAATGGATATTTCGACAGATGAACATTTCTCCTTAGTACAGTTGATAAAACTATAAAATATCTTCAACAGATAATACCACATTTCTTTGTCCCATTAATGCTTTGCTTCCCTATTTTTCTTCTAAATGCCCTTCCTCAGACCCTCCTCTTTCACACACACTGTATCTGGTATTTACATCTATATATTGTGTTTCTATATCCTTTAGTCCATCAGTTTCAGTCATAGAGTGTGGACACTCGGTATATATTAAATGGGGACATACAATACAAATCAAGTATTTTTTATGGAAATTTACTATTTAGATTGAGATATACTGTTAAGCTTAAAGTATTCACTGGATTTTGAAGTTTTCATATAAATGAAATAATATAAACTATTTCACTTAACTATATTTTTATGTTTAATTAAAAATTGTTATGGTATGCCCAATTTAATATATATATTTGGCTGTTGAGAAAATCATGACATTTTTCTGTTTCTCTATGCAAAAATGCATCATGACTTTCCCAGCAGCCCAATACATTAGTTAATTTTTAAAATAAATATATTTTTTATTTAAATGTATTTATTTACATTCATTTACTATATATCATTATAGCATACAAAATGAGATTTCCCATCCAGAATACACTGTATATTGGCTCAGTGAAGCACATCAACATATGTGTTATCGTCAACAAATAATTTTCCATTTCTTGTTTCCTGTATATTCTGCTTTTTTTTCCCCCATCCTTGATTTCCTTTCTCTCACCCTCTGCCGTGTCCCACCCTCCTCCCACACTGTCTCTGGTATCCATGGTTGCTTTCTATGCCCCCCATTTTATTGATTCACTAAAGCTCTTAATTAATCTAAATATTTTCAATAGCAAGTGCAGCTTATATATACATATCCATGAACACAAGTCTGATTTTAGGCATAAATCTCACTGAGTAGAATGAACATACTATAAAGTAGCATCTAGCTGGGGCTATATAGCTTACTGCAGTCAAATAGGTATTTTTAATGTGTTTTATTTTTTTTTAATTTCAAGAAAAAAGTTTTCATGTTTTACATTAATTTAATTATGTAGTAATACAGGTAGTAAAGGTAAAAACTTTAAACTTACTGTGTACTTATACATATCTAAGCACAACATACAAAGCAAACTCAATAAAGTAGTAACTTAAAGAAATAGAGACAAAGAAGGCCACTCTGTAGTTGGTTAAGTACTGTGCAGAGGGAGAAGATGCCACATGGCTGACCAGAGTCTGAACCCCAGCCCTTGGCTTGGAAATACAAGCTGGCATGTGCACACGTGCTCAGGATCCTGATGGGATGGAGATATGGAGGAAAAAGGATGGTGACGAGAGCAAGCCACATTGGGAGGGGTGCTTTGGCTATTGTGAATTGTGCTGCAATAGATATGGATTATAGGTATCTCTCAATATACTAATTTCATTTCCTTTGGATATATACTTAGTGGTGGGGTTGCTGGATCATATGACAATTCAATTTTTAATGTCTGAACATCCATACTGTTCCCATAACAGCGATACTGATTTCAGTTCCCACCCACAGCTGTGTATGAGTTTCCCTCCTCCACCTCAGCACTGGTTTGTTGTCCTTCTGATAACAGCCATTCTCACTGTGATAAGGTGATCTCTTTTTGTGGGTTTGATTGGCATTTCCCTGCAACGCAGCTGAACCTGGAGGACATTTATGTTAAGCAAAATAAGCCAAGCACAGAAAGACAAATCCTGCATAATCTCACTATGTGGAATGTAAAGAAGCTTTAGATTAGTGGTTATCAGAGGCTGAGGAGTGGAGAAGGGGTAGGGAGAAACTGGTCAACAGGTCAAAATTATACTTAGGAGGAATAAGTTCTGGTGCCCGATCACAAAGTAGAGTAACTATACTTAACAGAATTATATTATATATTTCAAAATAGCTAGAAGGGAGGATTTGGAATGTTTTTAACACAAAGAAATGATGAATGTGTGAAGTGATGAATAAGCTAAGTACCCTTATTTAATTATAGCACTATGTATGTGTGTGTGTGTGTGTGTGTGTGTGTGTGTATGTATCAAAACATCACACTGTGGGACCAGCAGTTAGCATAATGGTTATGTTGCTAGACTCCCATGTAGTCAACCGCAGTTCAAGTCCCGGACCCAGCGGCTTAAACTTGCGCCAGGCACGTGTGTGTGCACGCCCAAGATCCCAGGAGGAGAATGGAGGAGAAGGGATTGTGGTGTGGCCATGCCCCCGGGGGGTGATTTCTCGTTTTCTGTCTCTCTGTCTCTCTCTGTCTTTCTGGTGAGCGCACGCACCCTATAGCAAAAACTTCTCAAAAAAAAAAAAAAAGGAAAAAAAATCACACTGTATTGCATAAATATGTACACTTACTTTGTGTCAATTAAAAGTAAAATCATATTTTTTTAAAAAAAATAGCAACAAGGGAGAAAACTGGACTGCAAATTTTCATGGCCCACTTTTCACTTATGAAAGCACAGGAAAACTTACTTCATAAAAAACGTGCACAACAAAAAAATCACAATTATTAGGAAGGAGGGACCAGCAGTTAGCATAATGGCTATGGTGCTTAACTCCCATATAGTCGACCGTGGTTTGAGTCCCAGATCCAGTGGCTTAAACTCACGCCGGGCACGTGCGCATGCGTGCCCAAGATTCTGAGAGGAGAATGGAGGAGATGGGATTGCGGTGTGGCCATTCTCCCTGGGGGGTGATTTCTCACTTTTTGTCTCTGTATCTCACTCTGTCTCTCTGGCTAGCACACGCGCCCTGTAGCAAAAACCTCTCAAAAAAAAAAAAATTATTAGGAAGGAATATAGGAAGCAGAATAAAGTCCCTGCGGACCATGAAAACATGCCAGATGTTCCCCTAAAATTCATGTGGATACTACTTTAAATTTCAAAATAAGGTAGAAGAAAGAAATGAAAATGACAGAAGCTATGAAAAAGCAACACAAATATGAATTTAAAAAATAAGAAATTAGGTGTTTGGTGAGAAGATCTTGAAAAAGTAGCAAAACTCATTGAAATTCTTTTTACTAAAAAACTCAAAACAAAAGAAAAATAACTTTTAAACGGATTAAAATTAAGTTATGACTACAATGAAAAACATTAAGCTAAATAGATCATAATAATAATGACTAAAAGACAAAGAGAGAAAAAATATTTTAAATCATAAAGAAATAAAGTGGCAAAAAGCACACAAGAAAGATAAGACAAACAATAAAAACAAACAAGAGCCAACATACCTGTAATAGAAAAAAATTTAAAGTTGTAGCAATGGTACAGAATAAAGACTAAGAATTCTAATTTAAGAAAACTTTCCTCAAGTGGAAAAGTTTGGGGACTACAAATGAAGGGGCACTGTCTTAGTGTAGAGTCCCCTAAAGCAGAATCTGAGACAAAGATTTAAGTGAAAGTGCCTAATTTAGTAAAGTGCATGCAACCTTCTGAAGGAAGTGTGATGAGAAGAGTCAGTTTAGGGTGTCTACGAAGTCAGCTAACCATAGACAACTAGAGCTTTATTCTGCAGGGAAGCTCTGGGAAGTAGTACAAAAAACATGCCTCAAAATTCACTCTAGTGCCCCTTGTACACGGTCACGCTGAGCCAGCGCCTTGGCCTGGTGTTGGGCTCCAGCCTCCTCAGTCGCGTTCCCTTCCTCTCGCCGCTTCCCAGCCATGGGCCCCCGCAAAGTGAGCCAGCTCTGGGCCTTTGTGAAAATGTGTAAGCAGGATCTGAGCGTTCTGCACACCAAAGAGATGTGTTTCCTGAGAGAGTGGGTGGAGAGCATGGGGGGTAAAGTACCACCAGCTACTCAGAAAGCTAAATCTGAAGACCATATCGAGGAAGAAAAAACAGTAAGAAGGTGGAGGAAAACATAAAGACAGAGGAACCATCAAGTGAGGAAAGTGATCTAGAAATTGACAATGAAGGTGTGATTGAACCAGACACCACTGATGCCCCTCAAGAAATGGGAGATGAAAATGTAGCGATAACTGAGGGGATGATGATCAGGCAAATGATAAAAAAGTAGCTGCCATTGAAGCCCTAAATGATGGTGAACTACAGAAAGCCATTGACTTGTTTACAGAGGTCATCCAGCTGAACCCACGCTTGGCTATTTTATATGCCAAGAGAGCCAGTGTCTTCGTCAAATTACAGAAGCCAAATGCTGCCATCCGAGACTGTAACAGAGCCATTGAAATAAATCCTGATTCAGCTCAACCTTACAAGTGGTGAGGAAAAGCTCACAGACTTCTGGGTCATTGGGAAGAAGCAGCACGTGATCTTGCCCTTGCTTGTAAACCGGATTATGATGAAGATGCTAGTGCCATGTTGAAAGAAGTTCAACCAAGGGCCCAGAAAACTGCAGAGCATGGAGAAAGTATGAGCGAAAACTGTGAAGAGCGAGAGATCAAAGAAAGAATACAAAGAGTTAAGAAGGCTTGAGAAGAGCATGAGAGAGCCCAGAGGGAAGAAGCCAGATTACAATCAGGAGCTCAGAATGGCTCTTTTCCAGGTGGCTTTCCTGGAGGAATGCCTGGTAATTTTCCTGGAGGAATGCCCGGAATGGGAGGGGGTATGCCTGGAATGGCAGGCATGCCTGGGCTCAATGAAATTCTTAGTGATCCAGAGGTTCTTGCAGCCATGCAGGATCCTGAATTTATGGTGGCCTTCCAGGATGTGACCCAGAACCCAGCAAATATGTCAAAATATCAGAGCAACCCAAAGGTTATGAATCTCATCAGTAAATTGTCAGCCAAGTTTGGAGGTCAAGTATAATGTCCTTTTGACAAAGTAAAGCCCTTGCTGAAGGATAAGCAACCTAGGTCACCTAATGGATGTTGCAATAATACAAACCAGTGTACCTCTGACCTTCTCATCAAGAAAGCTAGGGTGCTTCGAAGATAATCCCTACCTCTCTGCCTTAAATGCAGCTGAAGCATTTTACAGTGGTTTGCCATTAGGGTATTCATTCAGATAATGTTTTCCCAGTAGGAATTACAAACTTTAAACAAGTTTTTTTTTTTTTTTTGGAGAGGTTTTCGCTATAGGGTGTGTGTGCTCGCCAGACAGACAGAGAGAGAGATAGAGACAGAAAGCGAGAAATCACCCCCCCTTTAAACACTTTTTAAACCTTAAAAATATTTAAAACAAATTAAAAGGGTGTGTTAATTCCTACATTTTTTCTTTACTAATCATTTTGGGGCTTTTCTCTGAATTACTGGGCAAGGAAGATACTTAAATATGGAAGATTTATTACTCTAGTTTGAGTTAAATAAAAATTGTATTAGTAGGCAAATGTAACTCATAAATAGATAAAGTTTGATTTGAATATATGGTTACTGAGGCATTTTGATTTATCTTTTTAAATGCTTTATTTTTTTTTAAATGATTTATTTCAGCAAAACTACAGGGACCATCAGTATTTCAATAGGCCCTGGTTGGGGACTGGCAGTACTTGGCAGGGTGGCAAACATCTGTGTGTTGTGTAACATGGACCTTGTACAGGCTGCCTTCAGGCTTACGCTGTGGCGAAGAGAGGAACTTGTGTAATGCTGCAGTGGAGCTGAATTACTCTTAACTCTCTTTTTGTCCAATATATCAAATAAATGTTTCATGTTATTTCAAAAAAAAAAATTCACTCTAGTGAATGAGCAAAAAACAATGAAGCGTTAACAACTTACGCTTGGTCTAAATGTCTCAAAAAGGAAGCAAAATAAGGTGTTTTTAGATATACAAAGCTGAAAAAAATCCATCACCAGCAGACCTGTACTAAAGGATGTATTAAATGATATCCTTCAGGCAGAAGGTAAATATCATATATCCGAGAAAGGAATCTGATCTGAAATGCAAACTCTTATAACTCAAAAATAAAAAGATAGACATCCCAATTACAAACGGGCACAAGATTTGGATAAACGATTTGTCTAAAAAGGCTTATGAATGGGCATGTGGAGTGATATGCAGACACTGGAATCCTCAGACGTTGCTGGTGGTACTATAAACTTTGGAAAGCACTTTTTAAAAATGTCTGACATGTACTTACCCCATGACACAGCAATTCCACTCCTAGGAAACTACCCAAGAAGAATGACAGTGCACAAAGATATGTATGCAACTATTCATAGAAGCATTATTCACAAAAGGAAAAAGCTGATAACAATCCAAATGTCCTTGTTTTTCATTAGATATACAAAATGTGGTATGTGCATAAAATTAGATAGTATTCAGCAATTAAAAAAATAGATCAACGATATTTTACAACATGGATAAAATTAAAAAGTATTATGGCTAAGTGAAAAATAAGTTTATTTATTATTTATTTATTTATTTATTTATTTTTTGGAGAGGTTTTCGCTATAGGTTTGCGCTCACCAGACAGACAGAGACATAGAGACAGAAAGCGAGAAACCACCCCCCAGAGGGGATGGTCATGCCACAATCCCTTCTCCTCCATTCTCCTCTCAGGATCTTGGGCACGCGGGCACGCACGCACACACGCCTGGCATGAGTTTTAAGCCACCGGGTCCGGGATGCGAACCGCGGTCGACTACGTGGGAGTCCAGCGACATAGGCATTACGCTAACTGCTGGTTCCCGAAAAATAAGTTTAAATAAGATTGGGTGGTGATATCCTGGCAGTTCACGATGTTATTTTATTTTTTTCTTTTTCTTTATGAGAGAGAGAAAGGGAGAGAGAGGTGTTTTCCTGACAGGGTGTCAGTGTCACAATCTTCCTACTCTAGCCTCCCAGTTATGTGTAACCTTAGCTAGAGAAATAAAGACCATGAAGAGGCTGGACAACATGGCTGGAAGTAGTAGTTGAACCCGGAATCCAAAGAATTACAGATGCTCCTTGATTTATAATGGGGTTATATCTCATAAGCCCATGGTAACTTGCAAATATCATAAGTGAAAAATGTATTTAAGGGCCAGCAGGTGGCAGGGAAGTTAAGGCAGCTGAATCCCACATGGCTGACTGTGGAGTTCAAGCCTTAGATCCAGTGGCTTGAAAATCATGCTGGGCACATGTGTGTATGTACCCAAAATCCCAAGAGGAGACTGGAGAATAAGGGACTGCAGCATGGCCATCACCTCAGGGGGTGATTTCTCACCACTCTCCCCAATGGGTACATGCACCCTATAGCAAAAACTTAAATGCATTTAATACACCTAGCCTTCTGAACATCATAGCTTAGCCTTGCCTCCCTTAAACATATTGAGAACACTTACGTTAGCCTATGGTTGGACAAACACATCTAGTACAAAGCCTGTTTTATAATAAAGTATTGAATATCTTACATAATTTATTGAATACCAGTACTGAAAATGAAAAACACCAGTGGTTCACTGCCAGTGCCCAGCATCCCAAGAGAGTATTATCATGCATACTGCTAGCTCAGAAAAAGATTAAAGATCAAAATTCAAAATTCAAGGTATAGGTTTTACTGAATGTACTTTTACATCATTATAAAGTCGCATTACAGGTAGAACCGTTGTTAAGTCGAGGATCATCTATTTTTTGCAGCCACAAAAGAGACACTGAGCTACCAAGAATAGAGAGTACATTGGTTCATCCTTCCCAGCTTTCTGATTCCATTCCAAGAAAACCCATCTCAAACAAATACGACAAGCATACAAGGTATCTGGTGCCTTCTAGTTGGTTTGTTTTATTTGAATCTTGTAACTGCCCTCCTTTGAATGGAAGGGTAAGGGGTCTCCCAAGAGAAGAGGAACAGATTAGGGGGAGGGCATAGGGGAATGGAATGAGCTTGATCCTACAGTATCAAGTACATGCTGTAATCACCTGTGCTGATCAAAGTGTGAGCTTGAGAAGCCACAGGGCATTCTGTTCATCAGGGTCCTGTGGAAAACAAAACTATAGGGCATGTGTGCTCACCAGAGAGACAGAGAGACAGAAAGTGAGAAGTCACCTCCACCCCTGGGGCTGGCCACAGCACAGTCCCTTCTCCTCCATTCTCCTCTTGGGATTTTGGGCATGCATGCATATGTGCCCAGTGTGAGTTTTAAGCCATTGGGTCTGGGACTCGAACCACGGTCGGCTACGTGGGAGTCCAGTGATGTAACCATTATGCCATCTGCTGGTCCTGCACTATGGAAAAGTTTTAGCCAATAATCTCTGAATCACATATGGGAACGGTAGAAATTTGGGGGCTGATTCTGTGGTGCAGCAGTAATGTGCTACTCAAGAAAGGCTGGGTCCCACATGATGACTACAGTTCAAATCCTTGACTGATCAGCCTGAAACATGCTGGGCATGTGTGTGGTTCCCTAAGGTCTGATAGGTTGGAGACTGGAGGAAAGGATGGTGGTGTAACCAGACACTGTGAAGAGTGTTTCTCCTTCTCCCTGCCATATGGATATGCTTATGCTCTTTCATGATAAAAGAGGAAAAAAAATCGTAGAAATTTTGCTTTGAAACCGTCCTTTTCTAAGACTGTAATAATGAACAAATTCACTCTTTACTTCAATCTCATCATGCAATGAAAGAAGGCTACTTTATAACAGGATTCGTAAATGTATTACACAAATATATTTATTTATGTAAGGCATTAATACACAAAAAAAGTTAAAATAAGGTGTGGCACATTGTATGCATGGCACAAATATTTTACTTTATTAATTTCATTATCTTAGAGTATATGTCATTGAAAAT